CTACTACTACCACCACCACTGCTACCGCTACTGCTATTGCTACTGATACGCTCACCTCAGGCTGAACAGCAAGCTTGGCCAGCAGCAGCGCGACTTTGTTTCCTTGCAATCCACGCTGGTCGGGGTGCCCAGCTATGCGATCCGGGGAGCAGAGGCAGATTTTCTGTTATAGGTCTTGTGGATCTTGGTAAAAGGATGTGTAGTCTCACTATTGTTATTATCCTCCTGTTTAGGGGTATGTATGAGTAGCTTGTCAAGACATCCTGCGATTGGGCAGACGGCGCTCTACACCGGCGTGAAGTCCGGGCGACTATCCGAGGAGACGGGGTGCGCGGTCTGGGGTTTATACAGGGTTTAGCATTGGTCCGAAAAGGGTTGAGGATCAACGTCTCTCCCCAGCTAGTCATTGTCTCGCCACCTTGCAGTTTTCGCTGCTGCCGTCGTCGCGCGACAAGTAACGAGTACTACGCTACTAAGTACTATTGTACCAACGAGCGTCGACATGATAAGTTAGATTCTGTGTGCCTGCTACCAGCATCTGCAACATTCGTTTGCTCAAGTTGCGACAACCTGGCACACTTCAAACGGGTGAGATATAGTTTCTGCCGGGACCCGTGGATACAAGAGTGTACTCAGAAACCTTGTGGTTCAGACTTGCATTGACCTTGCTGATATCCCCTGATGTGGAGCAAGTCTGCGCTGTGCTCTACAGCCTGTTTGTCTACCTCTGGCAGCTAGCACAGCAACCCGGCCGGCGAACAGCACAAACCCAAATCCTCGCAAGCAACGACACGTCAATCTGCAGCAGGGTACCCGCAGCCACGGTAGCATCCAGGACCTCCTCCAAGAGCTGAGAGGCGCCACATGCACCGGGCCCCAGCGGTAGGTCGGGCGAAAGCTCTGAACGATGCTTTGCCTCGCCCCGGTTGCACATGTCGGAGTACCAAGTATTACCAGGCTGAAGTTAGCAGGTTCGGAGTTCATGAAACGTTTTGTGGCTCTGCCAAGCTCTGGGATGTTCCCACTTGCCCCCGGCCTACTTCCTGATATTTCGAGGCCTCAGATCCCGTAAGTCCCGAGATGGACAGCCGAACGGAGCAGCACTTGCCGAAAGAATTTCAGTTGTTCGTTGCGTTTCATGACGCCCAGGGGGCAGCCGCAGTGGGGCTCCCAATGTGCACTTGGTGCTCGCAGGGTCCCGGTCGTTGTGCCTTGAGTGCCTTCTGTGCTTGAGAGCTGCAACCCTTGCGTCTAATCACAAGACACATGAGACGAATATTCTGACATGGTGACGCTGCGGCAACAGACGTCCCGACACCAGCCCGAAGCCCCGAAATTCCATGTTCAAACCTGACAAGACCTCAGTACGAAGCACCCCTTCTGAGAGCTCTCGGCTCAAACCGTCCAATCCAAAGAGTTCGCCAACTTCTGCCGGTATGGGCGCGTGCATAGGCGCATGCCTTCTGCTGACAGGGGGGTGGAAGGCTTAGGGTATCAAAGGCTTTTACCGCTTTTTGAATTCAGTTTGTATGTGCGTTTTCGTTACCAGTTCTCGGATTCTTCGTTGTTTGTTTTTGTCTCATCCACCCCGAAGCAATTGTTAAATTCAGCCTGCCTGTCCATCTCCTGCCTACCATACTATCTGTCCATTTTCCGACATTGGGGAACCTGCAGACGTATGAAAACTAGAAGGTTCTATACGAGTACAGATTCGACAGTGCACTCCATGTCACTTTCTGCCGGGCTTGAGCATCGGATTTGAGGCTTTGAGTTCTGGGTAGGATCTGAGGATCTTGGTTTGTCCGGTATGAGCCAGAACAAATCCGGTGTGATGCTACTCCTGCAGAAGTTCATCATAGTTCCCAACACCGAACTCAGAACCTGGGAGCTTCCGCAGGAAAGCCGGATGTCATCCGAAACAGCGTGGTCGTCTCCGACAACGAGCGGGGCAAACCAGTCGCGTCCGCCGAGGTTTTGGTCGAAGCCCGGCTCAAATGTGGTGGCTGCAGTCTAAGCTCAAGGTTGACTATGACTATGAAGGACTTAACAGACAACTTTACGGCTTGCACTAAGAAAGGCCGCAATTCACAAGTGCATGCCCGAAGGGAACATGACTTGGGGAAGCTATCGGCAGACGCGCAAAGGACATGCACTAGGTCGGTCAGAGAAGTCATTTTGCATACGTCCTGGACCTTGGATAGATCGAACGCACACCTTTAACTTCCCGAACTGCTTGCCGAGCTTCCTGCTTGTTCTGCTTGTTGATTGCATTGTGATAACCTGATAAGGAACCAAAGCACGCCAAAGGCGACACAGTGTCATTGGCTCAGCTGACATGGCTTTTTCTTTGGTGCCTGGAGAAGACGTATCCATTTCATTGCGAGAAAGTCAGGTTTTGTTGTTCCCCCTATCTTGGCTCCCCTGCATGGAGTGAGGTCCAGAAGCAAGTTCATCATTAGCCACCCTGGCGATGTGCAGGACACCTGGCTCTGGAACAAGTGCAGAAACTTCGGGTCCTTCATTCGATGGCTGTAATGGTAGCAGTCGTACTCATGATTGTAACTGTCGTTACGATCGCGATTATCAGGAATTACTGCGGTAGGACTGTGATCACGGACGCTGAACAATGACTCTGCCTTCTTTGCTGTGAAGCTCAGGATATGTATACATTGCAGGCGAATAAGATCGGTGAGGGCACCTATGGCTCCGTCACCATTGGTGTGCACAACAGCACCTAGAGCCGCAACTGTATCTGAGAGGGTCTCGGGCGGACTCGGCCGAGGTTGGCGGCGACATCCGAATGTGCATCTCTTCATCCTTACTTTCGTTATGGCCTTCGGGGTAGATACAATTTGAAAGCATCCTCTGTTCGATTGAAAGCACTTCCGGCAATACATTGCGCATTGGCCTTGCGGAGCCGAGATGTTCCTCTTAGCCGAGCCTTGGGGTTCATTTTTGGGGTAGATACTTGTAGGAACATCCCCAGTCATCACCAGACATTTCCGTGCAATCATCGTGTAGAAGTAAAACCCCGTTTCCAGTCACCCCATAGATCGGTCACGGTATCAGTGATTCTGCAGGTACGCACCAGCAGCGTGCGATCAAGACCATGTCAAAAGCCAATATGTGCCCCGGTCATGACTTACTCTGCAGACATGGCAACAGGTCAAGGCACATGAAATGTCAGCAGCACCAGTACTGCTAAGTAATAATAGAGAGAGAGAGAGAGAGGCGAGGGGGGCTTGCCTCCCTTGTCCCTAGCCCTGGCAAGAGAAAGAAAGAGAGAGAGAGAGAGAGAGACAGACTTTGGTTCGGGATGCAGGCGTGGATAGGCGTTGAGGAAGGGTTAAAGGTGTAAAAAGGGGAGGACCCCTGGCTCCACCGACCTTGGCGCCGGACGCCGGATGAACGGATCCCCTGCGGAGGAGTGCGTGCCTGGGCTTGCCTGAGCTGCCTGTGCTTTGCAGCAAGCAAGCCAGACAGAGAAAGAGATAGAGAGAGAGAGAGAAAGAGCTATAGCTACCATGGTTAGTATGGTTGCTTGTGCAGCTGTGTGGTACAATGCCGGCTTTTTGCCGCCAATGCCATGTCATCGGTGTCAAGAAAATGCGCATGTTGTTCTCACCGCCGTTCACAAGCTGTTTTGCTCAATGCGCACTACTACTGTACTGGAATGCAACGCTGCGATCGTTAACATTGATTACATCCTTTGCAATGAGTCCTCCGAATTCATCCTGTTTCGGAATTGGCCACCTGCAGCCCTTTTCTGGGAATCATGGGCGGCGGGCACTCGCAAGAGCTGGAAGGTCCTGTGACCCCGGTTCAGTTCAGCTTCGACGGGCTACCATTAACGCATGATGGTTTTGGAGCGCTGCTGAATCGGTGTTGCCGGATGTCGGCTGGAAAGTTTTCCATCTTCGGACCTGGTCTAAGATGATGACTGTTGGCAGATTACGATGATGATTCCCGCTTGTTTTTTGTGTGTGTTTTATTTGCCCGCCACAGCCCAGGTTTGCAGGTATCCCCCTCAGCCCCGACCGTTGTGGAAGGAGATGACCTTCGCAGGCGTTGCGATGCAGTGGCCCGGCTTTTGAGCGACGTGCAGGGCGACATTCTCTTCAGTCGGAGACTCGGAGGTGCAGAAAATGCTTCTGGTATTTCAGGTTTTGGGGGTTAGGGTTCAGGCTACTTTTTTTGTCTGTCTATGATGCAACCCGGCATCATCACCCGAAGAGTGCCACAAACGGATCAAACTGCAGGTCTTTCCGACTGGGGCACTTTCTTCTCCAGTAAGAAGAAAGCTCACAGGGATGCGGTCGTTGGCCAGCTCTTCGCTTTCCTTACCGGCATGTCTCTTGGAGGATTTGAGAAGCGCTTTCTTGGCAATGACCTAAACATTGGCGTCCTGGCGTTTGAAGCTTAGCCTCTGCGATCGCCTAGACATCGTAGACGGAGTGGACGGAGTGTAGACCGTAGGTATAGCTTATGTATATATGTACTTATATATATATATATAGATATACAAGCATGCATGCATACGTACGTACATTCACATATGTATGTTGCATGCATGCATGCATGCATGCATGCATGCATGCATGCATGCATGCATGTATGTATGTATGTATGTATGTATGTATGTGTATACACATAGAGAGAGAGAGAGAGAGAGACCGCGAGAAGAGCCACTGCCTTACCCAATGCATGGTGTACACATCACGTGTAAGTGCGTGTGTGTATATATGTAGATACATATATATATATATATGAATATACATACATATAGCCCAATCTACCGCACAATATACGTGCATATGTAGGTGCATGCATCATGTACTTTTCACATTGGGGTAAGTAGAAAAGGGGCGCCAATGCTTGGCTGGTATGGCTGGGACAGAAATCCAAGGCTTTGCTTTCAGTCTCCGGAGCGGTGCAATGGCAGGAGGATGGATGATTGGTGCTGCCTATTCGAGGCAAAGTATGGCGCCGCAGAGGTTGGCAATTTTGCATCATCATTCGTTTGCAATGTTTGATTCTGTTGGGGCATCCCGCGGCGTCCTTATGTCAATGTTGGTCATCCATGTGCAAGCTCAACTCACTTTCTCTTATTTTTTACAAAATGGAAACTAACATCAAGGACTTCTTATCTTCTCCTCGTGTGCTTGCCAGGTGGCATTAAGCAGAGGAAGCAGCTGCATGCAAACTTTAGGCGAGCTTTCCACGATCCTTTGCCGCACGGCGCAGTCCGAGAAGACGGTGGGAGAAGCCCGGCGTTCCTTCAGTACCCAGCACAGTTACTAACTAAGTGCTACAGCTGGGAACAGCAGCCCAAACGCAAACAAGAACGGTAGCAAGAGCTGCAAAAACAACCAGCGCCAGCAGCCGCGACAGCTCCCACCTGGCCACCGCCGCCATCCGCGGTGGGAGAAGCGAAATAGTAGCAGGGATGTAACCCTACCGCCGAAATTAAAAGCAGGCTGCAACATCGATAACAACAAATAGCAGCCCCAGCCCACATAACAGCAGGAGTGGGAACAGCATCAGCGACAGACATACCAGCGACATCGGTCCTAAGCATGCATGCTACAGGAAGGGCCCGACATATGTAGTATATATATATATATGTCCCCTAACAAGCAAGAGTCTTTACGATGACAATAGTCGCTTTGTTGGATTTCGTAAGATATCATCAACTGCCGACCCGTTGGACAAGTCATGCCGAAGGTTCTTCGCATGTAGATGTTGTACGCATCCCAGGACAGAGTTAAGGATGCAACGAAAGCCTTGCTCCAGTTCTTAACCGAGCAGCCAGAAAAGATGGCAGAGATACTTGTGGAGGACCTCGAGGAACACGGCCAAGCAATTCGCATGGCCATGCAGAGGCGTTCGGATCTGGTGGTTGCAGCAACTCTACTGCAGGAGAGCGGCTGGTCTTTCACCTCGCAGAAAGTCAACGGTGTGTGTCGTGCGCCATCCCTGCTCCGACTGGTAGGGTTTCCCGATCCGACCTCTACCACAAAGGCTTCACCAGAGGAGCAGCAGAGGCTTCAGTCGGTGATCGGGCAGAGCCCGGATTTGTTCTGGCAAGTTCATGGCACTCCTTCCCATGATGACATGGGCACTTGGGTAACACACGATGGTGTCCGCTACTGGTGCAAGGTGGAATTGCCCGTCTCGGTCTACTACGTTGGGCCCAACACAGGCTGACATACCGTGTACCTTTCCTTTATATATATATATATAGATAGATGTGCCTCTATGAATGTGTGTGTGTGTACGAGTGTACGTGTGTGTACATACAATGACATACAAGTACAGTGTATGCAAAGCCAAAAGTACATGCATGCATACATACATACTTACTTATGTATGTACCTGTGTATGTGTGTATATACCTGTGTATACATATATATATATATATGTATAGAGCCAGGGCTCGTCACCAGCGGCTGGAATTGTCCGAGTTTCACCCATACCGGGCAGATGCCTTGGTTTTAACAGCTACACGTTTTCTGGGTTTTCAACGCCTCGACAATCAGAGCCTGCACACAGGCATCCATGCCAGGCGATAGCTATCATGTTTCGGCCTTGGAGCAGGCATGATTCCAGAAAAGGACTTGTTCTTTCACGGAGCAGCGAGGGTCCGCCATGTAGAAAGGCAGATGTTCAACCTCCTTCCCAATCATGCATCTCTGCCGGCTGCTAAGGAAGCATGTGGTCCGCTTCCAGCAAGAGATCCAGATCATGAAAACCATGGACCTTTGGCAGGGTCACAGCGTTGGCTGCGCTGCATGCACTTCACACTTCGCTCTACATCTTTCTGCGTCTCTCCGTTCTTCGAGCTGTCTATGTATAAATGTACACAAACTATATGGGTGCATGTGTGCACGTACACACACAGCTACATCCACGCCACTCCACCCTTCCCCACACACACGTATATTTGTATCGTCGCCGAGCATGTCGAACTCTGCCCATCAACGAAGTCGGAGATTTCCTAGCACGATGGCTGGAAGGTCAGCCTCACCCAGCTTCGGATGCTGTAGATGTTACAGGTCCCTTGCCAAATGTCGGCGGAGTTTGTAGCGCACCTACCAGCGCAAGGGATCTGTGCACTGTCACTACCAGGCATATGTTCTGGGGGCCCATGTGGGGGGGTCGACTTCCGGACCATGACCGAGTTTGAAGTGGCTTTGGTCCTCTTCAGGACCATCCAAACATCATCAAGCTCTACGAAACTTTCGAGGTGCTGAGAGTCATGTGTAGTATGAGCCAATGAGGCTGCTTGCTGGTTCCCTGCTGCGGCCTTTGACGCGCTTGTTGTTATAATTTCGGTGACCGTGGGTGAGCGCTTGTGTACACATTGGTCTTGTCACCGGTCGTTTAGCTTTAGAAATGTGGGGCTCTCAACCATGACATCCCTTTCTGGAGGCATCGGTTAAAGGTTGCAGACGGTGTGGCGGCATACTGCGTATGCCAGCGTACAGGGTGTAATTACAGCTGCCCACAGCTATCTGGGACCATTCAAAGTCTGCAGTTTGCTTATATCTCTGTGCTGTACAGAGTCTCGTTTTGAAGCCAAGCTTTGAGAAAGCTAACACAGCAGCACGTTTCTGGGTCTTGCGCTAGTTGTGTTGTGTCTGTCTGGGAGGACCGGAAGCACATCTACTTGGCCATGGAGTTGTGCACAGGTGGCGAACTTTTCGATCGCATCATCGAGGCGGGGGGGTTAAGGCCCCCTTGCTCTCTACTCCCTTCGCATGTCTTCCTGTCATCCTATATAAGATAGGGGCCTTAATAATTAGAACAGGCTTTGGGGGATATTATACTATAATTATAATAAGGACCAAAACCCTCTTCTTATTAAGGCCCCTTCAGTAGTCATAATCCCACTTTGCTCGCCTCTTGGTCCATGCCTCTGAGCGTCCGAGCCCTGGCATCCCTGAGGTGGGCCAGTTTACCGAGAAGGACGGCGCGATCGTAGTGCAACAGATGCTCTCGGCAGTGCCGGGCTGATTTGTTCATCCTTGGACGGAGCTCCCCAGTTCCCCAATAGGACATGTGAAGTCTGCTTGACAAGCTGCGTGTTGCATTCGTTAGCTTGCCTTGAATTCCGCTTGGAAACGTCATGGCATGACTTCGCTACAAACAACCACGACTGACTCCTCATTGATGCAGGATAAGGACAGCCAGCTAGTACCGCTTTCACACGTTTTCGCCGTCAGCGATGCACAAGTGCGAGCGTTGAGGCCTCTCAAAGAGCAATATAGGGCCCTATCATTAATAAGGAACGCCCAAAATAGTAAATAGTATTGGTAATTATTAAAGCCCCTACATCACCTATTTTGAAGCGTTGTCGGGTCGGGAAAAAGAGCCCTTTTGAGAAGCACAGGCCGCAGCCCACCAGCAGACGTTTATCCTGCCCTGTTAAGGTCAGAGCTGAAGTTGCGGAATCAGAACTTAAAGTTGAGGGAGGCGTAGACGTCTTAATCTTTATACATATATAGGTATATGTGAGGGATCAAAAAGAGGGAGTTATTGTGAAACAACCAGATGAAACAGTCGAAGTGCTGCGCCGTTCTTGCACTCGAGGTCTTCTACATGCATACCCGCGGTGTATGCCATCGTGACCTCAAGCCAGAGAACTTCTTGTTCCTGTCTAAGGGCACCTTGGCCTGGCATTTGCAAAGCCTAGACAGTTTAGAAAGTAGGGTTCCTGGTGGGATTGGCAGGTCGAACTTTCAGGTTGGAGTTGACGACCTGCCTGCATTTCAGATTCAGGCATTTGCTTTGATAAACCCAGCTTGCTCAGGCGCCAGAATTCGTTTTGAAAAAACGCCAGACATTGTCAAAACATGTTTCTGCTTGGAATGGGTCGTTGCACTGCAAGCTTCGGTATGTCGGACACCGTTGGACTTAGGTCCCATCGAGAACACGCTGCTGAAGATTATAGATTTCGGGTTATCCAAGTGCTTTGACACCAGCATCCCCATGGCCACGAAAGCAGGCACTCCCTACTACGTGGCCGGGCAGCAAGACATGTACGCCTGCACATCACCACGCTTTGCAATGATAGCAGGGGCCTTTCAATCATGCATCGTGGTTGGAGATGTCAGGTGGCACCCCAGGTCCTGCAGGGCAAGTACGACAACTCATGCGATCTTTGGAGCTGCGGAGTCATCATGTACACAATGCCCTTTGACTCGGAGTTAATGGAGGGAATCATGCCGCCCATGACCTGTTAGAATCCGAAGAAGGCTTGCCCGGTGTCCTAAGAGGCGAGGACCGCCTTCGGCCAGCCAGAGCTCTCAGGGCTCCAAGCTAGACAGCGACTCGTATGCCCAGCTTGAAATCTCTTCGAAGTCGTGGCTCTTCATTCTAACAGGTTCTAACAGGCTCAGGCCGTACAAGCAGCTGTATCATTACAGTAGTAGTAGCACAGAACGAGAGGCAGTTGCCGTAGCAGCAGCAGTAGCTGTAGCAGCATCTGCATCAGCAGCCGAAGCAGTAGCAGCGGTGGCAGTAGCAGTAGCAGCAGGTGTGGTAGCAGTACTGGTCGTCGTCATGGTGCCGGTGCTGGTGTCGGTAGGGAGTTGCATTGGCAGTAGTGTAGTGTTAGTAGCAGGAGTAGCAGCAGAAGCAGTTACCATGGTTGTAGTTTTCGTTAAATGGTGCTCAACAGTGTGCAAATGTGCGGCAGAAGTGTCGTGCTGCTTCAAATGAACGGTTCAGACCCGTCGACACTGTAAAGAGACTGAGAGTCAAACCAAGAAATATGTAAATAGTTGCAAGGCGATGGCAGCACTGGGAACCGGAAGGCAGTAGATGTTGGGACGGCAATGATAGCAGCCATAGCAAGTAGCGTCTGAGATGCTATTCCAGGCCCTGCTACTGTTTGTGCAGCAACCGCGGCCGCAGAAGTGAACAGTTCAAATTGTCAAAGTTCGCAGTCCAACGCATCCTTACGAAGAGTTTAACTGTCCGGACATAACTCTAACCTTCTAACCTTGTCAGCAGCATTTGCAACAGGCTGTGCGGATACCCGCCTTTCTACGGCAAGACTGACCAGGAGGTCCTTAGCAAGGCCAGCTTTTTCGATGATTCCGCTTCTTCCGTTTCTTTCATGGTATAAAAAAGACTGTACTCGTAGTACGAACGATACAGAAGCGTCATCGCAGTGACGGCCATAATTCAGATTTCTGCCAATAACGGAAAACATAGGCACAGCACTACTACTGCCAGACGACGGCTACTGCAACTACTACTCTACTGCTACTACTACTACTACTACTACCACCACCACCACGACGACGGCGGCGACGACCACGACCTCGACGACGACGACGACTACCAGTACGACTAGCTGGCTACTATTGTCAAGCGGTTGCTTTTCCAATCTTCGATTCAATCGTAATTAAAATGTTGGAGTTACTTGTTCTGCTTCTTTAGTTATGCACGGGTCGCTTATGGCGATTGATTGTGTACTTCCCCAGTTCGATGTGTTGATGCTTAAAATTCACAGCACTCCTCGTGGAGACACCGTGGAGAGCTTGAACAATTACACCGACCATTCCGAATAGAACGAAACAAGAGGCCAAGCCCCTACAGCCAGTCAGTTTGGAAGCCCCAAAGCCCACATGCTCTGCTCAAGGGACTGCATTGCGAGGCTTCAAAAATGCTGGAGGTAAGGAGCTCGAGTCACATCCGAAGCTGTACACCCTACACCGCGAACCACCCACAAACCCCACATCCAGGAGAAAGCTGAGCACAAGAGTGTAGAGGCCCAAGGTACACAGATACAAAGATAATATGATGCCACAACAAAGTGTTGTAACAATACACGGTAACCATGTACTTTAATCTTATGTTATATAGTTTGGCCCCTCAGGTGCGGAAAGGTATTTATCAGTTCGAGCCGAAGTATTGGCGGCACATCTCCGCGGATGCCAAGAAGCTGATTGGTGCCTTGGGCGCAAAAGAACTTGCAAGGATCTTCGATTTGAGGGGTGGTGAGGAGTTGGGAGCTGTTGTGGTTTCATATGATCTCATTGCCGACGTGCGTGATGGGGAGTGTGGTGTCGAGATCTAGGCTAAAGGCTGCGTTGCAGAACAAGAACCAGAAGAGCAAACAATAATAGAGCCAGAACTATAGCGGCGGTTCAGCACCAGAACAGTTTGGCAAGAGCAGTAGAAGACATCGTAGCTTCGGTAGTATGCATAGTCTACTTCAGGTCACTCATGGCAAGAAGATACAGAATCAGAGCATCAGAATGCAATGATTGCTCGCCCCTCTTACCACGAGTGAGGGTCCGTACGACACACCCGAAGCGGACTCGAAGTGTGTGGGTCCATGTTGGGGGTGTCCCGTTTCGAGAACCTCCTGCGCCAGGAAAGCTCTAACATCTCTGTTTAGGCATCGCTGCAAGACAGTCGGATGATCTTAGGAATGCTGCTCAAATTTGAGCCCGAGTCGCGCTACACTGCTGAGGAAGCACTGCAGGCGCAGGGGTTTGTGCAACAATGTTCAGTGTAAAGGATCGGTGCGTCGCAGCAATGCCGAAGAGAGCTTTACGACTTCGCACATGGAGTTTGCTTGGCTGTGGTTCTTCGGGAAATGTTTTGTGGTAAAGTACCAGCACTACCCACTGGCAGAGCAGGCCCCAAAACTCACAGTAGAAGTGTCATCCTTTTGCATGAGTGGCCTACATGCGAGCTGAGAAGGTGAGTTTGTGATGCTGCAATGTGATCCAGAATCTTAGCAATCTGCGCATGGCACTTTCGATGCCATGCGAACTCAACTGGGATTCAGTCCTGCTTGAGGATGTTTGGATCAAAGAGCGAGCACCCAAAGCAGAGAACATCTGCTTGCAGGACTGCCTGCATGTATGCCGTGCGGTCGGAATTGACGCGTAAGCATGGCTTGAGCCCCAAGCGCTTTAATTCTTGAGGGGCACTAGCTTTCTGGGCTGCTCGTGTGCAACTGTTTACGTGGCTTCTCTGCGTTTGCATGCGTGCTTGTGTGCGAGTCACCGGTAGCTTGACATGGCATCTCTAGCTGAGACATTCGCACGCGTGGATTTGAGAACAAGCTCCAGGCCATCCAGAATCGATCGTTTCCTCGCCGCAGGATCGTATCATGCACAACCTGAAGAGCTTCAGGCACCTGACTTGAGACACGGACTGCTGCTCCATCTAAGACGGCTGTGCTGTTGCAGCAGTTCTGATGTGTGTGTATATATATATATGTGTTATATGTGTATAAAAAAAGTATATATATGTATACACAAACACTCTAGATGTACATGCATGTGTATATTTTTATATATGCCTACATGTATGCAAGTGTACATGTCAAGATGTCTGTGTATGCATATGTATGCATGTAGCTACTTAGCTATGCATTTTTGTGTACATATATGTACATATATACATACATATACGCATGTGTACATATGTGTACATATACATGTCTATATATATATAGATATGTATGCATACATACATACATATACACACGCACACACGCACACGGACATACATACATACATACATACATACATGCATGCATGCATGCATGCATGCATGCATGCATGCATGCATGCATACATACATACATACATACGGTGTGTGCGCGCGTGTGTCTTAGCCAGCTACATCGGTGCCTCTACTGCGTGTTGGTACCACATATGCAAAAACGTTCTCAGTCTATTCCTTATGGGCTTCAACTCTGTAACTGGCGAGTATTTGACGAGGTCCAAGAACAAGCTCAAGAAAGCGGCCTTGAACATCATCGCCTCCCAGATGAGCGAAGCCGAGATCGCAGACCTGCGGGAGCCGTAATCACTGCTTTTGGATCACTGTATCGACTTTGGGGTAGTAGCTTGGTAAAAGGCTTGCTCTGCAACGTGATCCAAGTTGTCTTATGCAACCTGCCAAGTGAGTCTTCGGACATGCCATACAGGAGCCAAATTTTGTAGAGTCATGCTGCCGTTGAGTTGAGCCTGTGCTTTTCGATCTTAGTTCCCCTCGAAGGTTTTCAGGCTTTGCTTTATTAACGCGTGGTGTCGCTGTTCAGGTGAGGTAAGAAGTGCCACACTATCAACCATATGTACACTTGCATCAGGCCATATCAGGCCGAAATTATCATTCAATGCAGCAATGCTTGATTGCTCATCATGTACTAGTGCGAGCATTTTAGGCGTGGCAACTCAACTTCGTCATGTTTCTTTCGCACAGCTTGGCGTGCATTCGTCCACCATTTCAGAGCAGTTTGCGGCATGACATCCATTGCTATAAGCCATGGTGACTAATCGGTAGTACAGTGGCAACGTTACTGTGGCGGCATTCACTCAAAAATCGTGGCTGCGTCAATTCGTCCCGGACGGATTGCTGCAAGCATTGGTTGCTGTAAGAGTTGTCTATCTTTTCTGATAGCACATTCGGGGGTTGTGTGTATATATATACACACACACACGCTTATTTGCTTATTTGTTTTGTTGCAGATTCGCCGCCCCAATTCAACGGGCTGGGAATCACTGCCAGGAGATATTCAAAGCGCTCGACATGAATGGTGATGGTGCCTTGCCTGACTTTAGGCCCGGAAGTCTATCGAGTTTGGATCTCAACGATCACCATACCAGTCTAAGCGTAAGTGTTCAGGGTTTATGGGTCACCGTTGCAACGTAAGTAGTTTTGCGCTTTGCGCTGCGACCTGGAATCATCGCCTGGAGAGTGCGAGATGAGGAAGTCCAGGAGACCTCCCGTAAGAAGCCCCGTTTGCGACGCTGTGGAAAGTGTCATCAGAATTGTGTAGCAACCCTGGAAATCTATATTCCCTAAGTTGAGGGCTCAGTGGTTTAGGGTTTCGGGGTTTAGGATTTGAGATTGGCTTGGTTGAGCTTTCCCTCTCTGTCCCGACAGGAGAACCACAGTTGGCCTCAACATCCCTGTGCGACACATTCCCAAACACCTACGAACCATCAACCTCCTCTGGTAGCATTCTTTTGCTGTGTCGGGTGTGAAAGTCGAAACCCTTGAGTGTAAACGTGCCAACCCCATAAAACCCATAACGTCCCAGTATGGAACCCTAACCCTTCAAACCTTTAAACCCGAAACTATGTTTTTCTTGAGGCTTCCTGACCACGACTGAGCTGAAGGATGGCAGCTTAGATGCAGACACGCGAGCCGCCAAGGGCTTTCCGACTGCCAGCCGTCCCTGAAGCACATGCTGGACGACGGCTACTACTACTACTACTACTACTACTACTACTAGTGATGATAAGATTAACAGCAATAGGAGTAACCATAGTTTGGCTTATAAATGTTTATTGATAATGTTCGTCATAATAATAAGAACATGTCGAAACTATCGGAGAAGCTCAGGCATCACGAAGGCTCGGGCGAGGAGCCCGACGATCGACTTGCAGGCAAGCCTGTTATGTAGCCAAGCGTACCTCTGGCAGTATACTTTCCACTGCATCTATACAAGTATGCAGACATGCATATCTATGTCCATATACACATGTTCACCTGCACTATGTAGATTTGTGTGGATGTCTGCGCATGCCCACAAATCGCTTAGTAGACAGGAAATAGCGGCTCCTCAAAGATAAGCATTTCCGTGGGATCCGTTGCTAGTTGCTACTTCAAGAGAGGAATGTAGGGCATGCCAACCTTGTAGTTTCGTTTATACGAATATTTGGTCCCAAAGACATGTACAGGCGTAGATATAGATCAGATGGGCATGTGCCTCTTGTCCTGTTCCGTTTCGTTTAACATGAGATATTGTCAAACTTGTCTGTTTCATACATACTGTAGTACTATAACATATAGTACCGCCTTGTGGTGATGCCACAGGGGAGCATCCAGGCATCTGCCCTTGAGCTCCGCCACCAGTCATACTATTAGCAAAAGCGCCAGCAAAGAGAGCCACAAAGCTGACCACGGACGCAAGCGACTCCTGGTTTCATTAAGGCTGGTTTATAGGGTTTAGGGATGGACAGGTCCTCACATGCAGGACCGGCGTGTTTGACAGGGTCGGATGGGCGATTCTGGAGCCAACTTCGACATGCCTACATGTGCGGCTCATCGTGCAGTTTGCTTGTGGACGTGTTGCCTGTGTGTTTGTTTGTCTGTTTTTGTTCGTCGATTTTTCCGTACGTTCGTATCTTTTTCTTCAGCCTCAGCCATGTCTAATGTATCTAGACGTGCTGTTGAGCATGAAGCCTTCAAGCCACATCTGCAGTTTCGGCCTTCTTGGAAGGCGATCATGGAAGGCGTCGATGCGGACGGCAGTGGTCTGATCGAATCTTGGTGGAAATTCCTGGGAGCTCCTGGAATCGCATGATGCAGTGTCGGGCTCTAGGCTCTAGGTGTAACCTGCGCTATTTTCTCAGTTGTCTCTTTGTCTAGGATTCAAGCTCACGGGACCGGGTTCAGGCTTTTCGCGCTACGGGTCGGGTTAGAAGCATCGGTCTTGAGCACTCCCAGGACTTGTACTGTACTTTGGGCAGAATTCAGGATATTCCCAGCCATATGTAAAACACAAGCCTTTGCCTCAAGCCCCCAGCGAGCTGTAACATAGAAACCCTTTCCCCCAATTAACTTGGAGGCAAAAATTGTACTTGTAATTGGAGCTGGTGTTGGAAGAATACGTCGAGGAGACACGGGGTAAGCCATCCGGCCTCGGTCTCGAAGTGACTAAAACGAAAAAACTACGGTCTTAACCTAAAGAATCACAGCAATGCTTAAGAGCCGGCAGAAGCAGGAAGTGACTTCCTAAAGCCTAACCTCATCCAATGGACATTTTCAGGACTACACCGAGTTCTTGGCTGCGACATTGGACAGGAAGGTTTACCTCCAGAGGGATGCTACTGGTACTGAGCTGGAGGGTGTATTGGAGCAAGGTTTTGTTGTTTGCAGGGCTTTAGGGCTTTAGGGTTTAATTTGGCCCAAGGTTTCCCAGAAAAGGGGTTAGGGCAGTCTGGACCAATCACTGCACCCCAACCACCATCTGCCTGAGCTGGCGAGCGCTTCGAGAGCGTCTCACAAGGCGAACGACATGATAGCTGAGTTGTCAAGCACTGCACTTGGCGAGGGTAGAATTTCGTTGTAAGCGTGAAAAACCCTAAACCCTAAACTTGCTCCCAAAGCTTGGAGCTGCGTTTCTCAGGTTTGCTTCGCTGCCTTCTCGGTTTTTGACCGGGACGGCGATGGATGCATCACGCTTGACGAGCTGAATCTAATCCTGCATATAGAATTACAGTGTAGCAGACGGTTACGGGCTCGGGTGCTGTAGCGGTTCTACTCATGTCATAAGCGGCACATCGGTGCCAATCACAAAGTTATTCGTGCTGTTTTTGTGTTCAGCATTATGCTTCGATTTTGTCGGAGCAGGTTCTCAGAGGGTCCATTGAAAGCTATGCTATTTATTAAGGCCCCTGTCACTCGGTTCATCTCACCTGGGTTCTCCAGCAAAGCGCCATCACTTTTTCCTAAGGGGTTCACCATGCGCAGGCTGTGGTCGCTAGAAGTCATGCACTCTCGCAAGGAAGCAGATCTTGGAGAATGGCTCTGTGGAGGCATCTTTGCAGCATGGGTCTGGGGTAACGACAGCCATCACAACATGTGAGTGAGTGAGTGCGCAGGCGTGTGTGTGTGTGTGTCTCTGTGCCACAGAGCCCGGCACCGCAACTGCAGCTTCTGGGCTGCGCCGAGAGTTCCAGCTTTCGAAACGCCTGCCATCGGCTCTCGTCCTGCGGCCTGGGCCGGGTTGACTATTATGATTATTATGATTATTATTATGACTATTATGATTATTATTATTATGATTGTTACTGTTGCTCTACACGTCTCAGATTTCGGCTGTGTTTTGTCTCTCCTTCGTAGGAACAGTCGGTGAGTTTTTGGCACTCTTAATATCAACTGTATGCTTAGTCGTGCGATAGCTCTGCGAGTTGGCTGTATGACTGTGAACGGTGGTTTCCTAGAAACAGGTTGATTCAGCACTACTACTGCTACTACTTACTACTTCTCACCACCACCACCACCACCACCTCGTCTACTACTACTACTACTACTACTACTACTACTACTACTGGTACTGCTTCTGCTCCCCCTGCTGCTGCCACTGCTACGGCTACTGGTGCTGCTACTGGTGCTGCTGCTACGACTACTACCACCACCACTACTGCGACTTGCTACTGCTGCCACTGCTGCTGCTGATGATGCTGCTATGGTACTGATGATCATGTACACTGCGTTGTCATTTCTTCGTCACCCGAGGACGTTATCGACACGTGGACTTCGGAAGAGCTCCTCCAGGACGCAGTTTGGGGTGTAGCGTTTGTGTTCCTCCAACTCAGTATGGCAAAGCACGGGAACCAGAAGGGTTCAGGTCAGGTTTAAGAGAGGGGATGCCGCAGGACGTAGACCGAAATGGTGACGGCTCGATCGATTTCGAGGAGTTCATGGCAGCTCAACGTGAGAAGCATGAGTCAGTACAAGGATTCCAGGGGCAATGTCGATGTGCGTTTTGCATAGTTGGCACAGTTCCGACTGCCAAGGAAATGATGCGGGGAGGGAGATCTATGTCTCTGTACACGGAGGCCGAAACACCAAAGGCGGGACTGCTGGCACCATCGATCGGCCACACAGCATCTGAGTCGTAGTTCGTCGTTTAGAAATCTGCGTTACTCCATCGTCCTGAATGCATCCATTCTCGTGATTGTGAAAATTTGCATATGTGAGCACATGTCCTACACGCACCATCGGATGGGTATATGTATGCATATGCACATATATACACAGACTAAGGCAGGAAGGCCTACCGTAATGCATGTGAGCTGAGTTAGCAGAAGTTAAGTAAGTAAGTAAGTAAGTAAGTAAGTAAGTAAGTAAGTAAGTAAGTAAGTAAGATAAGTAAGTAAGTAAGTAAGTACATAAGTAAAATATGCCGAGTAAACAAATTATGTAAGATAGGTTAGAAATGTAAAGTTAGTTGAGTTAAGTTGAGTTTTGTTTCGATAATGCGAGTGAGTAAGTAAGTAGGCGAGTAGGTAAGTAGGTAAACTACGTAAGTAAGAAAGTAAGTAAGTAAGTAAGTAAGTAAGTAGGTAAGTAGATAAGTAAGTAAAGCAAGTAAGTAAGTAAGTAAGTAAGTAAGTATGTAAGTAAGCAGGTAAGTAAGTAAGTAGGTAAGTAAGTAAGTAATTACGTAAGTAAGTAACTGCGTATGTACGCATGTATGGACGAATATACGTATGTATGTATGTATGTATGTATGTATGTATGTAGGTAGGTAGGTAGGTAGGTAGGTAGGTAGGTAGGTAGGTTTGTGTGTGTGTGTGTGTCTTTGCGTGTGTGTGTGTGTGTGTGTATGTGTTCGTTTGCCAATGATGTCACGGTATATCAACGTATGCCAATGTGTATGCATGCATGCATGCATGCATCTATTCAGCTCAGCTGTGCCGTACATGTCCCCTTGCCGAACCTCTATCCGAGTTGGGAGCATAAACCGCATGGTATGTAGGTGTTGTAGGGTTAAGGGTGCAGAGTTTTGTGAGTGGGATCTGCTCAGCACTGAGTTGCCACTCTCGCTCCGAGTGTTCCTGAGCAAACCACAAGCTCCGAAGCTAAACTTCCGATATCTATGTCGCCGAAGCTTCAGCGAGCCCAGACATAGGCGCGAAACTATAATAGACTAACATATACGGTACGTTTCTATATATATATATATATATATGTTACTATATATATATATAAAGATGCAGATATATACTATAACATATTATAATAATCCTGCCGGCAGGGCGGCCGCTCGCCCGCCCTCCTTCGGTCGCGCAGCCGTGGCAGCCGAACCCCCCGGAAAAAGATCTGAAGAGGCCTTGACGGTTTCGGGTTAAAGGATAAGGGAGTGCGTGACTTCTTCGGTGCCTTAAGCTTCGCAGTGGGTCGTATTTAGGTGTGTCATGAAACGAAGTGCACATCCCCTGCTTCCGCATATCCTGTTTGCTCTTTGGGTTGCAGGCGGCGCTGCTGCTTTTGCAGGATAGCTGCTCGAGAGAAGCGACTTGGCTATCACTCTCCGGCCTCAACGTATACACCCTGCGGACCCTTTGTCTAGCATGTGGTGTCACGGGGCCTACACAGTTCGGTACTTCCTCTTTTTTGCCGCAACATGTCATAGCAAGTCGTAGCAGTACTGATTGACAGGACGGACTGGACACTGGCGCTTGCATGCGCTGCGCACCTTCAAAGAAGGGCCTCGTCGAAGCTCTGTGTCGCAGTCGCAAGACGGGGCATAGGATTATTGTTAGGTTTAGAGTTTTAGGGGTTTCTTGGTTGAGCTCATCATCGGAGGTTGTTAATTTAATAATTCGTCCCGGTTGAGAGTAACGTAAAGGCTCCGGCGTCCTTTTTTGCCTCTGACGGTGCCTTGAAAACACTATCAGTTCAACGACGAGCCACCCTGAAGATCCCTGAAGCAGGCACTTGAGCAGGAGGCGCAGCTGTCTTCTATATAAACTCCTATCAACTGAATCCCCCCAACCACGTTCAAGTAATGCAGCAGCAGGAGGCCCGGAGCCGTGGTGAGACCGTTTTGAGAGTTTAGATCTCCGGAGCCCAGAAGCTTCGGGGGTTTGCTGCTGGATACTTACAGAGTTTCAGGCTTACGTTCGAAAGAAACCCGTCGTTTTCCCACCCGAACCCTGAAGCCTAAACCCTAAACCCCCAAAACATAAAACAGTAGGCAACATCGCCTAGATCCCGGCCATGCGTGAGGGAAACAGTTAAACCCTCATGATCCTCATGCAACAACCCTAAACCCTAAACTCAACCTTTTCTGTGCAAGTCCGAGTCTGAGTGCTGAAACTTGTTTTGTGTGCTGGTGGTGCTGGTGGTGGTGAGGTGGTGGTGAGGTGGTGGTGCTGGTGCTGGTGCT